GCAAGACAAAGTCAGGCCAGCACCGCACATTGCCACCACCACCAAGTAGTCTCTTGATAGACCTCCACCTGTGGCCCACCTGCCACCCCCAGCTCTCCGCACCCACCTGCCACCCCCAGCTCTCACCCCTCCCCTCAAAGGATCCATGACCCACAAAACCTTGATGAGCTCTTTCAGCTCCATTTAACTACACAAATGGCTTGGTCACAGCTGACTGGTCCCAAATTTGCCAGTGATTTTCTTTTAATTTACCGTAGCTCAGTCCCCCTGTAATACAGGTAGAGGAGGCATATTTGTTCCCAAACTCCCCTCCTGGGGTTAATCATGCACAGAACAAAACTCCATTTGAGCCACTTAATGATTTCATTTCCACCCTAGGTTTGAAGGAGCTGTGGCTATAATACTAATATGGGTCCCTCTCTTCCCAAACTCCAGATGTGGTGAGAGAGAGAGAGTGGGATCCTGTGGGTGACTCAGCCATTCCTGCCCGGCTCTTGGCCTCCAGCATCTTCTGCAAGCCGTGCGTTTCCCCTCTTTTCCTGGGCCCATCTTCTCTCCCCTGGGAAGCCAGACCTGACCAGCGTGGTACTCCTTCCATCCTTCCTCCCCCGGGTCCTCTGCCAGTCTCATGGGGTTATTTTGCACCTGCCTGTCACCTCTCAGCCCCTGACCCACCTCCCAGCCTCTTCTCCTGCCATGTCCCCCACCACACCTCCACCCACCATACTGGCATTCCAGACATTCAGACAGCCAGGCCCAGTTCCTAACCTTCCTCATTCCTTGCAACATGGACTTTCCCTTTGCCTGGAGGACCCCTCCTTGGTTGTCAGAGCCTGGCAAAAGCCTCCAGAACTCTGCTCAAGCGTCACTGCCTCTGGGAATCAGTTGACACTTTTTCTCTGAAGCAGAGAAAATCACTCCCTTCTGTGTGCTCTACCATTTATACCCTTTTGGCTTATTTTCACACAATATTTCATTATTTGTTTGCAGTCAGCCCTTCCACCCATTTGAACTCCTTGAGAACATAACAGAATATTCACCCGGGTATCCTCACACTCACAGCACGGGCCCAGTGCTGGGCATAAATGCTCCACAAATGTTCTTGGAATGAATCTCTGCTATACAGTTCAGGCATGTGGATGTGAACTGTATTCATGACAACACGAAGACACTCAGAGGCACTCCATCTTCAGAGGCTTCCCAAACGGCTGAAATCTCTACTGGCCCAGCCTGCAGGAGCTGACTCAAAGGGAAGGCCAGGTCACCTTCAGGAAATGTGCGTTTTGCGTGGAAAGGGCACCATCTGGTGGTTTCTAGCGAAATAGCCTCTCAGCTGCAATAGTGAAGAGAGAGAGGGCTTCCTCCCTTTGCTTGCCTCCCAAGGCCACCAGGTTCAGAGAAAGGTGTTCCCTGCAGCAGCGCCATGGGCTCCGGCAAGCCAAGCACTGCTCCCTGCCTTCCCAAGAAGCCTGAGTGAGCATTTGGAAGGGCACAGCCCACTGAGGGCTCTGAGGAAGGCCAGCTTACCTCCTCTCCACCCCTCTCCTCCACTGACATCCAGGCTGTAGCCATTCCCAAGCAGGCAGTACCCCCTTTCCAGCAGCCTGGGCTTGTGCCACTTCTCTGCCTTCAGTGTTCTCCAAGCTTCCCCTGGACCCAGGCCCTTTGTGTCCATCACCACTGTTGAACTGATCTCCTCAACTTAGGCCCACCTACCTGAGCTAATGGCGGCACCCTCCCCCAACTGTACCCCCAGGACCTTTCTTCTTCCCTACTCCAGGAGCCATGTATCGCCAGGTCGCCACTGCCATCTCACACAAACCTGCAACTGCCCCGTGGACCCTTCCTGGGCTCTCTGCTGCCATCCTTTGCCGCAGCCTGTCTCCACATGTAAAATCACTTTCTGCTTTAACATTCCGGCACATCCTGTTTCCTGTCTCTGCTAGGATAAGGCGGGATCCTTAACAAGTTCTCCACATACCACATGGCCCACCTGGCCTCTTGACAGCCTCCCCCGTCCCCTCTCTCGCTCCCTGTCTCCCATCTAGCTAGAACAGCCTTTTGGTGTGTCCATGAAGCCAGACTTCTCTCCCTTCTCAGAGCCCTCTCACTTGCCACTGCCCAGGGCTGGCTGCTCTCCTGCCCCTCTGCCTGGTTACCTCCTACTCATCCTCTATTCCCTCAGCCTACCCTACTGGGGCATTCAGGCAGAGGGAGGCTGGGAGGGAAAGGTGGTGGGGAGAGAAAGTCCAGGTGTCCTGGCCCCTAGGAAAAGTGCGGCAGGGGAGGAACTTTAACCTCTCTCCCTTCCTTGTTCAGTGTCTGGTGGGTAAAGCTCACCACCAACAACAAACCGAAGTGATCCTTCACCCAGCTCTGCTGGGTTAAGGACACTGGCTCTGGCATGAGACCATTTGGATTCAAACTCTGGCTTGCCATTTCATGGCTAGATGACATCAGGAAGGCTATTTAGCCTCTCCGAACTGCCTGTCCCTCATCCGTAAAAGGGGGATGATGATTTTAAAATAAAAAAGAAATCTAGGTTCTATTCTCTGAAGGCAAGTTCCCATTATATGTAGGACTTCACCTTTCAAGTAGTTATGAAAATTGTGACTCACAACTGATGAGTTTGTGTAAAATTCATCTCCCCTGTCAAAATGAAAGTTCTACCAGGGCAGGGACCGGGTGGGTGTAATTTACTGCTGTATTCCCAGGGCTGGCCTGGGGCCCACATACAGCATAACAAAGTGATCAAGAAAGCCACACTGGGATTCTAGCACTCCCCAGTCACCAAAGTGACTCTGGTCAAGGTACTTAACCTAGGCCTTGTGTTATCTCCTCTCTAACAATAATAATACCATCTATGCCAAAGCCTGCTTGGCTTAGTGCTTGGATACATTTCAAGTCCTTGGATAGGATCAGGCATATAGAAAGTGCTCAGTGAACATCAGTGGTCATTCCCGTGGACACTCAATAAATACTTCAATAAGACTTCTGGGTTCTAGTCTGACATGTAAAGAGCTCGGAAGTCATCACTCTCATACTAACAATAAGAAAAACTGAATAAACTGAAAACCAGCAACTCTTCTTAGATCCCTCAGAGAGTTGAGCTCAGAAGGCAAACCACTGACCTGAAGACTGGAGAGGCAGAAAGGTGGATACAGAGAATCACAACTTACTGGACAGAAGCCCAGGCACACAAAACTACAGGAGCCAGTGCTGGGCAGGAAAACCTAAACTACCTAAACTGTAACTGACAAATTGCTGGAGGCTAAGTGTGGACAAGGTTGACTACTAAAAAGTCCAGGGCCCAGTCACTGGGGGGATCCCCACACTTTCATGAGTTTTGCTTTCAGGAGCTCTACTAGCTCCTCACAATGAAAACTGAAGAAAATCCCCTCATGTTTCCCAAAGGGAAAGGGGAAAATAGCCATTTTTAAATAGGTCCAGAGCATTCTGTTCTCCTTAACAAGAGCCCACCCTCAAGGGAAACTATTTTGCCAGGGCCAAGCCAGCCTGGGAGAAGGGAAATGCCCAACTCCAGATCCTCCCCTCAAGCCTTCCTGTCTTTCCTAAGATGAGTGAGTGAGGGAAGCTGAGAATCACACATAAAGGTCACCGGGGATTACAGCAGAATAACTGTAAGCCTCAGACTCTATTTAAGAAGGAGCCTCTAAGGAAAGCCAAAGACAACAAGAAAGATGAAGACAAGGCTGCTAGAGGAAACCTTAGCCTCTGACACACTACAAAACCATAAACATAGCCTCCTAGCCAGGTAAACATACAGCCTCACACTAATGGCCTATTTACCGCAGCTCCGTTTCCTGATAAATCATGTCTTGCTTTCCCCAAAATAATTACAAAGCTTGCTAAAAATATATATACATAGCTTTATGGGACAAGGCAAGTATAGAAACCAGTCAGATATATTGGAATTATTAGACTGGGAATTTAAAATAGCTATGATAAATATGCTAAAGGTTCTAATGGGGAAAGTGGACAACATGCAAGAACAGATGGGTAATGTAAACAGAGAGATGGAAACTCTAAGAAAAAAAGTCTAAAGAAAATGCCAGTAATCAAAAACACTATATAGGAATATAGAATGACTTTGAAGGACTCATCAGTAGACTAGACAAGACTGAGGAAACAATTGGAGCTTCAAGAAATGTCAGTATAATTTACCCAAACTGAAAGGCAAAGAGAAAAAGAAAAGAGTGGAAAAAAGTGAAACATTTTCCAAAAACTGTGGGACAGTCTCAAAATGTGTAACATATGTGTAATGGGAAGACCAGAAGGAGAATAAAAAGAGTTTGAATAATAGTTGAGAATCTTCCAAAATTAATGACAGACACCAAACAACAGATCCTGGAATCTCAGAGAACACCAAGCAAGATAAACGCAAAAAATAAATAAATAATAACTACACCTAGTCATATCACATTCAAACTGCAGAAAATCAAAGACAAAGTTTCTTGAAAGCGAAAATACCTTATCTATAGAGGAACAAGGATAGGAATTATATCCAGCTTCTCCTTGGATACCATAGAAGCGAGATGAGAGTGGAGTAAAATATTTAAGTGTTGAAAGAAAAAAAAAAGATTGCCGGCCTAGAATTCTGTATCTTGCAAAATTGCCCTTCAAAAGAAGGACAAATAAAGACTTTCTCCAACCATCCAAAATTGAGGGAAATTGTCACTAGTATAGCTACCTTGTAAGAAACATTAAAAGAAGTTCTTCAAAGAGGAGGAAAAGGATATAGGTCAGAAACCAAACCTACATTAAAAAGGAAGAGAGTTAGAGAAGGAATAAGTACAGATAACATAAATGTCTGAAACAAACCAGCACACTTCCCTCAAAAAGTTCCCCCTGCCCCAGTCACAGAGCACTCCTTCTTATGTTCCAGTAGCACCCATATCACCATTGTCCCATTGCTGGAATGGTTGCTGTCTGTCTCCCTCAGGCTGTAAGTCAGTGTCCCCAGAGCCAGGCCTGTGAGGTACTCAGTGTCTGATGAATGAACAAATGAATGACACGGCACCCCAACCAGCAACAGGGTGAGTTGTTAAATAGCACGTCTCTTTATTCGCAGTTCAGCAAGAAGACTCCAGTGCTGACACTGTCGCACGAAGAGCTCACCTGCTGGAGTCTTTCTGCCCAGGTCTGGCCCTTCGTCAGGTCAAGCAGAGAAGGATGTTCTTCTGATACAAGTTGCTGCTGGACCCTGAAGGACTTCCACCTAGGAGGTAGAGAAATGCCCAGGGGACACAGCAGGGAGATGTGGTTGGCCAAGGGGTAGGGCTGCTGATGACTCCCTGTAACCCCACTGTTCTCCGCGTTCCCACAGCTCCATCTAGAGAGCAGAAACCCATGGAAGAATAGACAGTGGTTCATCAGGCAGCTGGAATTGAAGCCTGAGTCTGTTTCTTCCAGCTCAGAAGCCCCTGCGAACTGTGTACCCTCCCAGCACTTCCTGTTCTTCACCTCTACTAATATGAGCAAACAATTGATATGGCATTTACCATGTGCCAGACACCATCACCCCCAAGACAACCCTCTGAAGTAGATACTCTGTTGCAATAAAGAAACTGAGGCACAGTGGCATTATGTAACTTGCCCATGGTGGAGCTGAATTGGAACCCAGCATCTGCTCCCTGGCTTGACTTAAGTTCTGCCTTCTGTATAATGGACACAAACGATGCCCTCTCTTAAGATTGTTTTTTGGATCAGATGAGAAACCCTGACAAACTACCTTGTGCAGAAGCTGGCATACAGTAAGTGCTCAGTAAATGCTGGTACTGCTCTCCAGCAGCCTTCCTGTAAGCATGCTGAGGTCTCTGTGCCTAAATCTCTCCCTTAGCCCCAGGATGGCCAGCACAGCTGTTCACCACAGGCTCAGGGGCTGCATCCTGGAGAGCTCCTGTGGTTGTTTATCCTGCCACTGGCCTTCCACCTCCCAGGGCCTCACAAACAGCCCCTGTGTGACCACTGGGCCAAGCACAAGGAAAGAGACCATGGGACCCAAAGTCACCTCACAAGTTGGTGGCAGGTCTAAAACCTATACAGCCTCTCCCTGACACTACGATCTGTGACTCAAGGTGAGGTCAGCAGACCAGCAGTGACAATGCCCAGAAACTTTGAGAAATGCAGAATTGCAGGCTCCACCACAACCTCCTAAACACGAAAGCCCAGGCCCATAAATGATGCAGAGGCAGTGCTCTCTGACACCACAAAGTCAGGAAGCCAATCTGAAACTTGACTTCAAGTGCTTCCACAAACTTAAGAGAGGCATTGCGGGAGCCCAAGGCAGCCTGCCCTCCTCTCCTCTACTGGCCCTGAGTGCAGGCCCTTCCCCAGTAGGGAGAGGCTAAGCCTCTTTACCAAGTTCCCTGCTGCAGTGCCCCTTCCCACTGCCCAGGATAACCATCTTCTCTGCCCGGTTCCTCATCCGTCAGCTCTCACCTGTTGCTCTTAGCAGTCTGAGTAGGAGGGTCTCATACTGAAGTCCTGAGCTGAGACATCTGCAAGACGGGAGATGCTGCAGGGGACAGAGGAGAAGGGTCAGGTGGAGGGAGGCTGCCTGATAGCAGAGGCTACCCAGACCACGGCACAGGGGTTGGGGTGGGAGGGCAGGCCATGCCTAGGCCGTGGCCGCACTGGGCCTGGGAGCACAGTCATCTGAACAGGCCCTTAGCCTGGAGCCCTTCTGGGCACTGGCAGACACTATGGGAGGCTGGCAAAGCCCTGTCATGTGGAGCACAGAAGATAAGACGCAGCCCTGGGAACCGTGTGCCCCTGCTCTTGATGTTTGTGTACCAGAGAGAGCACTGGTGGGTGTGGGTGGGAAACCCAGCAGTCACCCCCACACTACCTGCCCCCAGTCGGGAACGCAAATCAACCAGTCCCAAACAGCTTACCTTCGTCTCACCTGCTCTATTCGATCTCGCATGATGTCCTCTGTCATCTCACTTGGCACTTGGAAGATACGAGTGTGGCTGCAAAAGGCCATTCGTGCATTGGTATATGGGATCTGAGTTTCTTTCTTAACAGGCATAGAGAACTGCTAGAGTTGGGATCCTGCAAACAATGGCTCTTGCCCCAACACCATGAACTTTTGAGCTGGTCTCTCCCCCTTCTTGACTCATGAGCACAAAGCTTTTTTTTTACTAACCAGGTACCCGTGAGCCCCCAGTAATGCTGGACAGGTAACAGACTGTCCCAGGGAGAGCCAGGGACACAGAGTTGAGCGCCCTTTCTAAAGGCAGCAGGCAGTGGTCTCATGAGCCATGGAATTCACCCTTCTGAATTCAGTCTTCTGAATTCCTGTCCTATCGTCAGCTCTTGATGACCTGCATCACCCCACGCCCACTGCGGTCCAGAGATGCTTCTAGGAAAGCCTAGAGTGAGGAAGTTGTGGGGTCTCCTGGGGAGCCTCTTTGCTTGTTTCATAAAGGGATATATATTTCCGGACTACATACTTACTGAAATAAGAGGGGGACACCAAAACCAGTGGGTTGTGGGGGAAGATAGGCAGAGGCTTTTGGTTTAAAATCTTTGTAGGAAATCCAGAGTGGAAAAATTATATGTAGATAATTGATTCCTGTAGCCTGTCTCAAAAGCTTAAATCTAGTTTTATTATACAGCCAAGATTTTTAAAATATTGGAAGATGATGTGTGTGTTATCCAAACCAAGGAGCACGATGTCCGCAATTCCATAGCACAACCACATCGGGCACAGGAAAGCCTGGATTATAATCAACAACATTTATGATTTTAGGGGCCTCAGAAGGCTTCCCATCCAAAAAACCTCTTTCCCAGGGACCTCTCAGATCCCACCATGTTATTCCTTTTGGTTATGTAATTACTGTGCATTTGAGTCTTCTTAAAAGGCAGATGCCACTAGAAGGGGTAAGCACATGGAAACCATTTCTTGAGAAGTGGAGCGTCCTTGATACAACAGATCAACACCGCTGATGCGGCAGGGAAAGGGAGAAGAGAGGAGGAAGGGGAGAGGTCTCCTTCAGTTTCCCAGAGGACCAGTCTAAGCCCTCAGTCCCTCTCCTGGGAAGGGGGAGCTGATGTGCTTCAGAGAGTCCCAGTGAACACAGGTGCAGGAAAGGAAATAGGAAAGCCTTTGTCTGAAGAGTGATGGCTTCAGGCCAGCTCCCTGGGCCTCGTGGCTCAGCATCTGCAGAGCCAAGAGAGGCAGTAGGGATGGCTGTGAGCTGGCAGACACCCGGGAGGCTGGCGAAGCCACCATGACCAAGCGCAGAATTCTAGCCTCGGGCGCTGGGAAGCCTCCACACACCTCGGTTGCAGATGAGAACTTTGGCTTCTGCATTTGAAGAGCTTATTTTCTTTCAGCTCTTTAAAGTGCAGCCACTTCTGAGCAACTCAAGTGCAAAAATAACAGAAGTCTGAAATGTATTCAGAAGCATTTAAGAAATGGAGTGCAAGCCCAGTTTTCCAACCCCTCAAGTCATTTAAAAATGTAGAAATGAGCTGGGCTTTCAAGATAGCAAGAATATTCCCTTAAGACCCCAAAGCAAGGCTGAGAAATTTGTCAGCCAAAGACGACACCTCTAGAGAAGAGCATCTGCGGGCTCGTGAAGAGAGGGGCTTGCGCATCTCTCCCTCTCCCTCCTTCACCCAGGGCAAATGGGACGACTTACCTCCATCTTATGAACTGGATTCGTGTTCTCTCCTCTAGGACCTCTTGGCTCTGGTTTGCCGACATATCAGACTTAGAGAGGTGGTGCTTCACCTGGGAAATCCAGAGGGTCCATGTGATTCCTGCCCAGTGTGGCCCCCAACTGGGCTGGCACAGAGCTCAGACGAGCGCCTTACCCTTGCCCAGAATCATTTACGGTGCCCCTCCTGCCTCTTCCCTCTCCCTCACCCCCACTCCCATGCAACATCTCAAACTCTCAGTTACCACATCTCTGGTCACATGGACATCCTGGCCATGGGTGGGAGGGGAGTCCGTGGACATCTTCTCCCTTACACCCTGGGAAGGGTAGTTGATGGACAGCTTTTCTTTTATGCCCTGAGAAGCCTCTTCTTCTGTCTGAAAGGTGAGGAATTCCCTCTGAAAACGTCACTCTGCCTCCAACCCTGGGTCTTCTTCTCCTCTTCTTTCCCTTTTATTCATTCTCCATCACAACTCACACACTGCATATCCACACACATACACTCCTTACCTTGCTATTCCTGCAATAAGCTTCTTTCCTGTGAAGTCCTTGGAACTCCCTAAGTACCTGGCCCTATCCCAAGGTATTCCTGAGACACCCTTGAGCTGGGAAGGATGCAGCTGAAACCCTTAAGCCAGGATGCTTGCGAAGCAGGACAGCATTAGTGGTGGTGCTAACATGTTTCCTACCAGGACACAAGCCACAGTGTCCTCCAGGACATGTGAAGAAATTAGACTCAAATCTAGGAAGGGTGTCTGGCAATGAACTTGAGTTCCAGTTCCATGAAGAAGGAAATCCAGATCCCCACACCCACTGAGACCAGCTCTCTAGGATTTTGGATACCCTGAGTCATAAAGAAATCTTACTTACTTTTTTCAGCCAATGCTGTAGTACAGACACAGCCTCGCTTTCCACAACGTCAATGTCCTGGAACAAATTAGCGAGTTGGTTACCTCAGAAAACCTAGAATCCCAGCTCCTCCCACCCACCCCCAACAACTGTTACTCAGAGTTATTTGTAATAGCTCTCTGAAGTGCAGCAGGGTCCCAGAGGTGGAGAAGATACATGAGAAATTATTCCATGTGACTACCACCAAGCTGCTTACCGAACTGGTTATTGGTAGGAAGGGAAGCCCTGCACCTTTCCGAGCAAGAATATACACAATCCATGTTGTAATTATCATCTTTGAATGTATACCAGGGCCCCTTCTTGGCTCCCTCCTTCCATTGAAGCTGCCTGAGAACTCCTATGGGACAGGAAAGTCATTAAAAGGAGGTGTCCACCTGATTGGTTGACCCATGATGATGTGACAATGGCCTCCCTTTGAAAATGAGGTATGTGAGTATAAATGCAGTTGCCAAGAGCCCCTGCATTTCGGGCTCTGGGTGCACTGCTTATGAGTTACCCTGCTTCAAGGAGCAGAACCAGTGAATAAAAGATTGCTGTCTAACACCACTGGCTCACCCTTGAATTCTTTTCTTGGGAAAGCACTAATTTGGGAGCTCACCTCGAGGCAGGAGGATAGGGTCTGGAGGCAGGAAACCTAAGGCCGATTCACACTGACTTCCTAGAACTAAATCAAAAGGAAAACCCCAACTTTCCATGCCCAAGTAACAAAAGAACCAGAGCCTACTCCCTTGGCAACCCTCTCCTTTTCTGCATGGCAGATGAAAAACTGAAAGTACCTCTGATTGGTCCCCTTCCACAACCAATCAAGCTGGTTGTGGGCCAGGTCTTCATTTGCATAGAGTTATAACTTTATAACTTCACTTCAGCCTCTGATTGGTCACTTTCCACAACCAATCAGACTGATCATGAGCCACTACTTCATTTACATAGGGTATATACCAAGTAACCAATGGGAAACCCCTAGAGGTTATTTAAACCCCAGAAAATTCTGTAACCAGTCTGCTCCCATCCTGTGGAGTGTACTTCTATTTTCATTAAATCTCTGCCTTTGTTGCTTCATTCTTTCCTTGCTTTGTTTGTGTGTTTTGTCCATTTCTTTGTTCAAGATGCCAAGAACCTGAACACCCTCCACCAGTAACAACCTGTCCTGCAACAACTTGTTATGTGCTCTTGACCTAATCATTAGTCCCTCTGGTCTGAATTTCTTTGCCTTATACTGAAAGGGATAAAGTTGTGTCTCTAGTTTTCTTCTAACTCTAATATTCCATAAGTTTTCCCATGTTTATTCTTCTCAGGACTATAGAAAACCTTTTATCACTTTCTCCAATTCCCCGATAGAGCCACTACACTTCTTTGCTCTCAACAATTCGCCTCAATTTTATACCATCCCTGGCATAGTCAGAATAGGCTAGGCTCTGCTGAGGACTGAGGCGACAAACCAATCTCCAAATCAAAAATGTTTATTTCTCACTCTCAAAAGCTCTGGCGCAAGTTGGGTAATTTCAGAGCAATTGTGTGCCATGTGGAGACTCACAGGTCCACACTCAGAGGATGTGAGCTCCATGACTGCCAAAGCAGGGAAGAGAGCACAGAGAGGAATCAGGCCAGTGTTCGACATTTCAGCTCAGAGGCTCCAACTTAGAGCCTTTGGTCTAGAACTAGTCCTATGGCCCCAACCTAACTCCAAGGAAGACTGGAAATTGTAAAACAGCAGATGAAATTAATTGTCAACATCTCTGTTTCTGTGGCTATCCCCCAAAATTTATGTTTTAATCCTTACTGATATAATTTTATTTTTGACTATTTAAAATATTAATGTGATTCAGAAATCAAAACTACATGAACAGATATATTCAAGGACATTCCATCTCTTCCCCTATACCTTCAACCTTGTTCTAACTCACTTCAGAAGTAAAATTTTCATTAGTTTCTAGACTACACAATTTTATTGTGATATATTTAAATAATATAAAATTTACCCATCATAATGCATAAATAAATAATTTTAGTGGATTCAGAGAATTGTGCAACCATCACAACAATACAGAATATATCCATCACCCCAAAAATGTTTGTCATGCCCATTTGCAGGCAACCTCGGCTTCTATTCTCAGTCCCACCAATCTGCTTCCTATCTCTAGAGATGTGCCTTTTCTGGACATTTCATACATATGGAACTATACCATATTATCTCTGGCTTATTTCATCAAGCGTGTTTGGGAGAGTCATCTACATACCTTGTAGCATGTGTCAGTAATTCACTCCTTTTTATTATGGGGTAGTATTCCACTGCATGGACATACCACAATTTGTCCATTCACCAGTTGAGGTACCTTAAATGGTGTCCATTTGGGGTCTACTATGAATAACACTGTGATGAACATGTTGGTGGTGGTGTTTAATTTTTTAATTTTATTTTTCCCTAAGTTATTGGGGTACAGGTGGTGTTTGGTTACATGAGTAAGTTCTTTAGTGATGACTTCTGAGATTTTGGTGCACCCATCACCCAAGCAGTGTATGCTGCACCATATTTGTAGTCTTTTATCCCTCGACCCCTCCCATCTTTCCCCCCAAGTCCCCAAAGTTCATTGTATTATTCTTATGCCTTTGCATCCTCATAGTTTAGCTCCCACACATCAGCAAGAACATGCAATGTTTGGTTTTTCATTCTTGAGTTACTTCTCTTAGAATAATAGTCTCCAATCTCATCCAGTTTACTGCAAATGCTATTAATTTATTCCTTTTTATGGCTATGATTCCATTGTGTATATATACCACAGTTTCTTTATCCACCCATTGATTAATGTGCATTTGGGTTGCTTCCACGATTTTGCAGTTGTGAATTGTGCTGCTATAAATATGCATGTGCAAGTATCTTTTTTGAATAATGACTTTTTTCCTCTGGGTAGGTACCCAGTAGTGGGATTGCTGGATCAAATGGTAGTTCCACTTTTAGTTCTTTAAGGAATCTCTACACTGTTTTCCATAGTGGCTGTGCTAGTTTACATTCCCACCAGCAGTGTAGAAGTGCTCCCTGATTGCCACATGCATGCCAACATCTATTGTTTTTTGATTTTTTTGGTTCTGGCCATGCTTGCAGGAGTAAGGTGGTATTGAATTGTGGTTTTGATTTGTATTTCCGTGAGCATTAGTGATGTTGAGCATTTTTTCATATGCTTGTGGGCCATTTGTGTGTCTTCTTTTGAGAATTGTCTATTCATGTCCTTAGCCCACTTTTTGATGGGATTGTTTGAGTTTGTTGTAGATTCTGGATATTAGTCCTTTGTCAGATGTACAGATTGTGAAGATTTTTCTCCCATTCTGTGGGTTGACTGTTTATTCTGCTGACTGTTCCTTTTGTCCTGCAAAAGCACTTTCATTTAATTAGATCCCAGCTATTTATCTTTGTTTTTATTGCATTTGCTTTTGGGTTCTTGGTCATGAAATCCTTGCCTAAGCCAATATCTAGAAGGGTTTTTCCAATGTTATCTTCTAGAATTTTTATAGTTTCAGTTCTTAGATTTAAGTCCTTAATCCATCTTGAGTTGAGTTTTGTGTAAGGTGAGAGATGAGGATCCAATTTCATTCTCCTACACGTGGCTAGCCAATTATCCCAGTGCCATTTGTTGAAAAGGGTATCCTTTCCCCACTTTACGTTTTTGTTTGCTTTGTCAAAGATCAGTTGCCTGTAAGTATTTGGGTTTATTTCTGGGTTCCCTATTCTGTTCCATTGGCCTATGTGCCTATTTTTATATCAGTACGACACTGGTTTTGGTGCTGTGGCCTTACTGTATAGTTTGAAATCAGGTAGTGTGATTCCTCCAGATTTGTTCTTTTTACTTAGTCTTGCTTTGGCTATGTGGGCTCTTTTTTGGTTCCATATGAATGTTAGAATTGTTTTTTTCTAACTCTGTGAAGAATGATTGCAGTATTTTAATGGAGATTTCATTGAATTTATAGATTGCTTTTTGGCAGTATGGTCATTTTTCACAATATTGATTCTACTCATCTATGAGCATGGATGTGTTTTCATTTGTAGGCGTCATCTATGATGTCTTTCAGCAGCGTTTTGTAGTTTTCCTTGTAGAGGTCTTTTGACTCCTTTGTTAAGTATATTTCTAAGTATTTTATTTTTTTGCAACTATTATAAAAGGTGTTGAGTTCTTAATTTGATTCTCCACTTAGTCACTGTTGGTGTATAGAAGACCTACTGATTTGTGTACATTAATTTTGTATCTGGAAACTTTGCTAAATTCTTTTATCAGTTCTAGGAGCTTTCTGGAAGAGTCCTTAGGGTTTTCAAGGTAAACGGTCATATTATCAGCAAACAGGGACAGTTTGACTTCCTCTTACCGATTTGGATGCCCTTTATTTCATTCTCTTGTCTGATTGCTCTTGCTAGGACATCCAGTACTATGTTGAAGAGGAGTGGTGAGAGTGGGCATCCTTGTCTTGTTCCCATTCTCAGAGGGAATGCTTTCAACTTTTCCCCATTCAGTATTATATTGACTGTGGGTTTGTCATAGATGGCTTTTATTACATTAGAGTATGTCCTTTGGATGCTTATTTTGCTGAGGATTTTAATCATAAAGGGATGCTGGATTTTGTCAAATGCTTTTTCTGCATCTATTGAGATGATCATATGATTTTTGTTTTTAGTTCTGTTTATGTGGTGGATTACATTTGTTGACTTGCATATGTGAAACCATCCCTGCATCCCTGGTATGAAACCGACTTGATCATGGTGGATTACCTTTTTGATATGCTATTGGATTTTGTTAGCTAGTATTTTGTTAAGGATTTTAGCATCTATGTTCATCAAGGGTATCAGTGTATAGTTTTCTTTTTTGGTTGTGTCCTTTGCTTGTTTTGGTATTAGGGTGATACTGGCTTCATAGAATGAATTAGGGAGGGTTCTTTCTCTCTCTATCTTGTAGAATAGTGTCAAAAGGATTGGTGCCAGTTCTTTTTCTGAATGTCTGGTAGAATTCTCCTGTGACTCCATCTGGTCCTGGACT